CCCTCTACCACTACAGCCAGGGCCGGGGTGTCGTCCGCAAGGTCTCCCCTTTCATCTAAGCCTCATTCTCGCAGGACTTCAAAGTATAGCTTGTGTCGGTATCGCTTTGCACGTTTCACCTTTTTCAATTCCCATCGCAGTGGCTCACTAGGACGGTCACATGTACAGTCGAAGTCACGGCATTGAGGGTGAGCGCGTCACATGTCAGATTGCACTGACTGATGAATCAGCGGACCCCGGTTTTGGGTGCTCTAGTTCGAAGGCTCGTCACCATGCGTCAGCTAAGTGACGGTATCTGGCGGGTTGCCGAGAGCACAGCATTGCGCCAGCGTATGGAGAACGCAAAAAGGGGGCAGGATTAGTGTGGCAAGGAAAGCGTGGCACAAATGATGAAGTGCGTCAAGAGAGAGGGCAGTGCTATGAACCCCAACTTGTATGTTTCAATTTTATGTTCCACTATCCTTATTTAACACCGATTTAACCCTAATCTATCCCCTATACAACCCCATTATAGTGGTTTCCATTTTGTTTTCCATTATTCAACAGCGGGTTCTTTCAGATGCTCTCGGGCCCGGGTCGGAAAGACAGCGCGAAGGCTTCGTGCAGGTCGACCTTTTGCGAAACCTGCACTAAGCTGATTCCCAATTTCAGTTAGGGTCTCCGTTGTATTTAAGGGAAGTCAGACAGATTATGTTCCCTTTCATAGCCTGAAGCATCATGAGAGAGAATCCAAGATTGAATCGGGGGAAGATCGCGGGGCTCAGTGTTCTCAGGTTAGCTGTTTCTGGAGGCTCTAGCACGATATGACCGGCCCTGCGGACAAACAAGTAACGAAGAATCCTTTAGCAAGTAGAATATTCCTGTACTAGTCATGTTACATGTTCGTATTCATACCCTGGCATCATGCTGAGTCTTCCTTCCGAAGATTTTTTTGAATTTGTGGGATCTAGGGTCGAAGGGGTCATCATCACCAACAGCATTCTCCTCGCAGCAAAGTGAGAATCTCAAATTTCCAGTGCTTGGTGCAGCAACAGCCCTACGTGCTCCTTGGTTGCTTATAGCCCCACTTTTCGCTGTTCACCTGGTTTGGCGTCTCCTGCCTAAAGTAGTCAAAAACATGCTCCAAAGCACATAAAATAGTTAAAAAGGCAAATATTGTACATGCTACATACTTGGGGGGGCTGCAGCTAGAGCCCACATCGCCAGCAAGAGCTCTAGCTGCAAGGCTCTTGACTCCCGACCGATCATGGCCACCAAGTACACCGACGAGCATCCCGCCAGTGCGCCTTGCCAGGTCTCAAAGGTTCCAAGCTCCTGTATACTTGGAGGCTTGGAGGGTCATATTATTTAGGGTCTAGGGTTTAGGGTTAAGAGGACTTAGCAACTATACCTATAATCCCCCCCAACACAACAAAGTAACTCAAATTATCCCTACAATTGCCCTACTTGCTAAACCCTGAAGCCTAAACGCTATAGTAGTTTCCAAATTTTTGTTTCCATCCTTTACGAAGTCCCCCTGACCCTCCAAGTAGGGGGATTCCCTACGCGCTGTTCAGACTCGCACTTCAATGGACAGCAAAACCTGAAGCCCGTATAAGTATGTAGACTAATGGCCTTTTGGGCTATCTGTGGGTGTTTTGGGCGATTATGTTACCTGCTGTTGGGGTTGAGGTACACCAAAGACACACCAGGATTCCAATTGTCACATGTGGGGTCTTAAAGTACGCGCACGCCTATAAGGATTCTGGGGACATCTAGCGGCTTTAGCGTAAGCTTTCTCAAACTTACGTAGTTGTGTGGAAGGAAATGAAGGGGTCGCTTTGATGTGGTTTCTGTGCGCACGAGGCTGGTACTGTAGTGCTTTCCGAAATGCATGCCCCCCAAGGCACACTTCGCGAGCAAATGCGTACATCCAAGTCGGAGTCTTTCAACCCTTTGCCCTGGGCCAAGGGTCCATATACAACATAATAATTGAGTACTTAGGCTTTTGATACACTTGTGAATTAAAGTAATGGTTTTGGGTAATAATACGATTATTCAGTACTTAGACCCTTGGGGTCACCTGAAGCCCAATAAACCCTACCTAACCCTAAACCCTCAACCCTTAGGCCCTAGACCCTAAGCCCTTTTATGCCAAGGTTCCCGAATTGCAGCAGAAGGTGATCCACGAGCCCGGAACTTCTGCAATCTCGAAGAACATCCCCCTCTCAGAGGTTTGGGGAGAGCTGGGTTCGGGGTTGGGGTAGGGTTTAGGGTTTAGGGGTTTAGGGTTTGCAGGATTAGAAGGCTTAAGGTTTGAGGTTTACGATTTCTAGGGATGGGTTTATAGGTGAGGGTGGTTGACGAGGATGTATAAGGGCAGGGGCTTTTGCTTGTTTTATGGAGTAGCTTTTTTGGGTGTGTGTGGCGAGCAACATCTCTCTCTCTCTCTCCCTCTCTCTCAGGCCTCCAGGTGTTATTGTCAGAAGTAGTTTTCTTAGTTTCGGTAAGCATTGAAGCAGTCTCGAGCTCTGAACAGCTCTGACAGTCTGACACTAAACCCGTATAACGTAAACCCGTATAACCCTACAAGCCCTAAAGCTAACGAAAAGAAACAAATCGCTGCAATGCTACAAACCCTGTAAACTCTAAACCATACCCATCCTTGACCTTGGGTATGGATCTAACGGGCCTTCGAAGTAAGGTCTACTTCGACGGTTGGGGTTTCGGGGAACTAGACTCCAAACCATCTATATGGGAAATGTTTCAGGCCCAGAGTGCCTACATCCTAAACCCCCCAGACCCTAAACCTCAAACCCTGGCCCTACCCAGACCCCCCGATTACCCTCCATGGACCCCAATCCTTCACAAGTGGGATCTAACTAGATGGATCCCTTTTCCATGTAGTATATTTGAAGCTCTGAACCCTGAACCAATTAATAAAGGGTACTTGGACCGCAATCCCTACCCCTAAACCCTAAACCTATACATACCCAAACCCGAAACCTTGAACCCTAAACCCTAAACCCTGGGCGGTTTGAGCCAGGTGAACCGCCACTGCACTCCCGAGAACTGCTGGGTGGCCCTCAATGGCAAGGCCCATCAGATGCTGTGGGATCAGCCTAGGTTTATAGGGTTTAGGGTATGGGGTCTAGGGTTAGGGTTTAGGGTATCAGGTTTTGGGTTTGGGGATTATAGGGTATGTATTGGGAGAATGGAAAATAAAATGGAAACTGCTAATTAGTTAGGGTCTAGGGTTTAGGGCTCAAGGTTTAGGGGAAAAGCCCAGCGACAACCATTTGATATCTAGTCTGTTATGAGCACGGTCAAAGAGATAAGACTGGTGTTTCGCGATATCCCTACCTAGGATGAAGCTGGAAGCTGAGGACAACAGGCTCATTGTTAGGCCCCTAAATCCTAAACCCTAAACCCTAAATCCGAAACCCAAAGCCCTTATAAACCCTAAATCCTAAACCCTGAGACCTAAACACTAAACCAGAGATCTCCTTAGTCCCGCCCTTGTTTCACATGCGGACCAGCAGGGGCGAGATCACCGCGACCTTATGGTAGTTTCTCAAAATAGGGGGACCCCCATGTATACCCCCAAAAAAATTGTTCGGCACTCCCAAAAGGGTACCCCTAATGTTGGGAACCCCCCTTATAGAAAAGACTGGATGCAGGTCTACGACCTGTCCGAGTTCATGGACCGACATCCCGGTGGCCCCACGACCATCTTGGCGTGGGCGGGAAAGGATGCCTCGAAGTTCTTCAACGACATCCACAAGGGCGTCAAGCTGCTCGGCGGGCCATAGGACACGCCACTCTTCCCGCCTCCATGTACCTCCGCCCACCATCACCTTCCCCAACCTTCAAGTCCCATCAATAATATATCATAATACGTAATCTATAATACACTATCATATACACATAAGATACTACAAGATATTATAATATACTATAAGATCCTATAATCCTACTGAGCTTGCCAATATGCCTGCTCAGGATCGACGCCTACTTGCGGCCCGAGGCCTTTCTGGGCGACCTGGGTGTCGACGAGAACCTCATGTCCGACGAGTTCTGGCACACGCTGCGCGAGGTGCGGTCAGAACGAAGATCAGGTAAGCAGCCCACGAACGGCGTGTCTTCATAGAACTTGCTAGGAGTGTGCACAGGCCCTGCCTCACGTAGATGGATTTCTCTACTGGTGAGCCAACAAGACTCCGCACACTCATCAGGCGTGGTATTTTTGCTGAAGTGCCTACATCTATCAACCTAGGCACATGACCTGGTCCACATGAAGATATCATCCATGCCTAGCCTTTGCAGCCCTGGCAGGCCCGCATTGTGGAGATCCGTCAGGAGGTTGACCGCCTCCTGAACCAGTGCACGAAGACCCACAAGGCAGATTGCCTTTTGGGGGGGTTTAGGGTTCAACGTAGGAGCCCTCCAGAGACCTTAGGGAGATATTACAAGGAGACTACAGGGGTTCGCATCGTGGATTGTATAGAGCATATCTTAAACTCTCATGTATGCTCCTGCCGTCGTAACTTCTACATAACAGCGCTTAGAGCAGTACAAGCGCCAGAGGAATTAGCTGCCGATACCATCCCTTCATACAATTCCTTGCGTAATCAGATGCTACTCCACGCCAAAGCCCTACTCCAATCTTGTAGGCTCCAATAGGACCAACGCAAAGAAGAAGCCACACAATTTAATGTCACCCTCCAGTTTGCACAATTCTTGATGAGGCCTTTTGGGATGGATGTGAATGGGTTGATCGCCTCACCTAGCATTAAGCCCCACAATACTCATATTACGTATCCCCAATATATTACAACATACCACAATGGAATACTCAATATCAGGGGGTGGGTGGCTTGAATAACAGGGGAGGTGATGAGTAATCCTCAAAAGTGCCCTTGCATGGGCTGAGTAGCAGCGAAGTCGCGTCAGTTAGAAGCTTGGTCATACGGTTGATGAGAAACCCTGCATGACCCTGAATGGCTGAAATCAGGGGATCATATTATGATGGTATATGAGAGTTGTAGGGAGCCCCTATTTACTGTCAGGGGGCATGACCTAAGCTGTACCCATTTCAGTATTGTGGTCTTTTTTTTAGTATTTGGGCGCCCGCTCGAGGAGTTTAAGGCCAACGTGCCCAACGACAGCCAACATTTTTCCCTTTCACTCGACCACACAGACTTCAAACCTGCGGAGCGTTATTGAGGATTAGGTTTAGAATTTAGGGTTCAGGGTTCATGCGGTCTTGCTGTGGTGTCTAAATCCACGGGCCACACAGCAAGTCATCGAAGGGCCGCTAAGCAGGTTGTACAGTGAAAGAACACCCAGTCCGTAAGAAATTAATACCTCGCTGATAGACCTGCTTCAACTGTTTGGGGGAGTGCAGGCCAAATTTAAAGCGGTCCAATGTTACTACAAAAATATACAGGACTTAATACATCAGCCGTAGCTGCATACTATGCCCAGTCAGTCTCTTGTCCATGACACGCCTTCGAAGGCGGACAGCATTCCACGCCTCCTCCAGGACAAGCACCTCAGCTGCCAAAACCCATTGAGACTGTTCATACCCAAAAATCCTGCATGAACTTATCATACTGTAATACTATGATTCCCAGGGTATGTATAAGGTACTTAGGGTTTCGCAGGATTTCCGGATCATCCTGTTTGGGGGCCTAAGACCCCACTGCTTTGGCACTTGCAATTGGACCCTTGCCTGACTCCCAAAGGCAGGAAAATAATCGCCCAAGAACACCTACATGTAGCCCAGAGGCCATAGTTCTAAATACTTTAAGGGTTCAGGTAGGGGAAGGTCAGGCAGAGGGAGATGTATGGCAGGAGCATAAGGGATGATTCTTTGGAGCTACGCCCAAAGAAGCGCAAGGTAGCCCTTAGGGTCCAAGTACCCAAAAGTGACATACCTGGGATTTGGGTAATAGTAACTGCAGCACAGGTGTTGGGTAAATATGTGATTATTGGGTCCTTGGACCCTTAGTGTAAGACGTCCTCCAAACCCTAAACCCTGTAGACAGTATAAACCCTATAAAACCTGTAAACCCCATAAACCCTATAAGCCCTATGAACCCTATAAACCCTATGGGTATTGGATTTAGGGCGGTAGGTTTGAGATTCAGAGTTCCAGGTTGGGGTTGTTTTGGGAGTTGGGTCTAGGTAAAGTAGTCAGTGTGGAGAGTTGGCATGCCACGGTCGGATGTTGAGGTCTACCTGAGCCTCAAAAGAAGAATAATGGCAGCTATATTTAGGTGTTCTGGGCTAGTACTTTACTTTCTTTTGGGGTTCAGGTACACCATAAAGCTAGGACAGACAAAAGCCAAATCTGCAGGCTGCGTTTGGTCATGAGGGATGGCTTTTTGTAACACGATTTTCCCAGTATGTTGTGTACTGGCCTTTTGGGCTAGATTTTCTTTTGGGGGTTCAGGTACAGTAACCCTAAACCCTAAACCCTAAACCCTAAACCCTAAACCCCCAAAAAGGTACCAGGTACCTGACTCTCGGGTGACGTTTTGATTTTTTTGTGGACGGCAGCCTGCTGGTACAGAACCCGAGGCGAAGCTTTCAATTTTGTGTTTTGCTGGCATGTCAAAACACGTTGTTTCAGCTACCGACTTTTTTTTGGGGGGGGAGGATTGTAGGCTTCAAAAACTACATTGAATCAATCTTGCGGGAAGTTGAGTACCTGGATCCCTTGGCGAAGAAAAACCTCCCACGCTCTCAAGAGCACCTGAAACTGATTTCATAAGAATTTGCGCTGTTCTGTTTATAGGCCTATACATGCCCGGTGCACCCCTACTTAGATTCTGGGTAACCATAACCAATAATTGGATTGTAAGGAATTACTATCATAGTTGGGTTCTAGATACTTAAACCTCCAAGTAATCAAGCATGCTGAGGACGCCCACTGAATCCTAAGCCCCTGCAATGCCCAAACTTCCAAAAAGCTTGGGGCGAGACATGTAGCTTAGGCCAGCCAGGGCCAAATCGAAAAGAAGGAAACAACCAAAGCCCATACTCGAATCCCTCAACCCTTAACTCTTGTTCCCCTAACCCTGCAAACAATCCAGTTGTAGCACCCGAAGCTCAAAGCTCTGACTGACTAAAATTTCTCCGCCACGATCTGAGGAATGTGGATCCTCTGCTGAAGACGAAGCTCCAGCGCCTGGAGACGCAGAAGCGAGCAGCCCTGGATGCAGAGGACGGTGAAAGAGCCATGAGACTGTCAATTTCAAGCACGCACACCTCATGTTACCTCATACAATACTGCAGGTAAGAATTAGACTCGAAGGACGGGCGTGGTATTTGGTAGTTGATCCATATTCTTGTTTCCAAGAAACCGGCCTCTATGGAAATCAGTGTCCCCTAGATTTTCCACAGGCCTACAGGAACACTTGATGATTTACCCAAAGGATCTTAGATCAGTTTTGATTTCCCCATAGACCCTGAACCCTCACACCCTAAACCCTCTAGACCCTAGACCCTAGAAAGCAGTCTATTTGTATTGCGTCTTTTGCAAGTCATGGGATTATAACACGCAAAGCTCTTGAAGCGTCATAGCCTTGATATTCTTTATGCCAACCTGTACAATCTCAACCGATAATCTGCACAAACCGGGACCCTCCTTGTACCCTTAATTGGGGATATATGGTCCCTAATAGTGGGTACTTAGGCCCTCATTGAGGGTAGGAGGAGGGTCAAGGAACACAATCTCCTTGCAGAACCGGCCAGGATTTTGCGAAGGCCGCTGAGGTCAAGCGTGCGATGGAGGATCTCCTGTCGCACGAGGACACCCACCCTTTTATTGGGGGGGGGACAGGAGTTCTGGCTTTTGACAAGTTTTTTTGCGCCAGGACCATGCGCACAAGCACGACGTGCCGTTGGGCTTCACAAGCAGCGACATCCCTCTGTCGGAAGTCGCGCGGCACAACAAGCCGCACGACTGCTGGATTGCCATCTGCGGTGAGGTCTACGACCTCACGGACTTCCTGCAGCACCACCCGGAGCAGCGCAACTCCATCCTAGCCTGGGCAGGCCGCGACGCCACGAAAATGTGGGACAAGATCCCCGGGCGCTTCCCAAGTAAGCAGTGGATGGAGTTCTTCATGCGCCCGGAGTTCAAGACTGGCAAGGTGGGACCCGAGCCACCAGTGGACAACATCATCCGTGAGCTCCGTGAGCTGCATGACGAGCTGCATCGCCTGCAGGGCCCCTCCAAGGAGGAGATCGAGGCGGTGAAGACGGCGGTGAAGGTGCCGGGCAAGACGGACGCCCCGACCCTCTCAGAAGAGAGCCGGTTCCCCAAGCTTGCGGAGATCTCCGCGGGAAAGGACTTGCCTTTCTTCACCCGTGCGGAGGTTGCCCAGCACAACACGGCCGAGGAGCCCTACATGATCATCCACAACCGGGTCTACAACCTGAAGCCCCTGATCGGCAGCCATCCGGGTGGTGACGACATCCTGCTCT